ACACCGATGTGACCCATGTACGTTCAAATGATATGGTCGAAGAACTACACCATCGCAGTACAAGGAAACAGCGGTATTCAAATATATGTTCGAAGATAGCAAAAATAAAGAGTAAAGCATATAAACTATACATGTGTTCGAGAGCGATAAATGTTCAATCTAGATCTATTCTATTTATAATCTCAAGACATTTATAATCTCAAGAAGACACGAACGTACCGGCCTCCACGTTGCGAGCCAAATCCTCTGCCTCTCCCTTGACCTCTCCCATTACTGCTTGAGTATTGGTTGTACATGTTGTCTCTTTTATTCCATATGAAACTGCTTTCGAATGTGCGTTGACGTATAGAGTGATACTGATACGCGCTCGTTCGTCCGAATATATGCTTAGTGCTAGAGCTACCTAGGTTGTAGCGAGTGGCTAAATTTGGCTTTGATGAACAAATGGCACCTATATTGAATCGACTGGCACCAACTGGTCCGGCGGTGTGTTTTGCTGCAGTCGAAAGTCCGCGCAGAAGTGTACTTGGTATGTGCAGGCATATGTCCGTGACAGTATGCTTGAGCCCTGCTACTGAGCCGAGCGTGTTCATTAGCGCCGCGCAGTGTTTACAAAGATTGCTAGTCGGCTCCACCAAATCGTTTTACTGAAAAACTTTAGGCTGGTCCTATGTTCTTATTAAAAATGGTATTTACATAGGTCTCGTTGAGCCGGTCGCTACTCGATGCATAAATATATATATCTAACTGCATAATCCGACAACCATTGGAATAATTATATTTAGGCGGTTCAGAACCCTGCGACCTGCGGAGACTCAGGGAACTTGGGATTTGGGAAGTCACGTTCACGACTTACGAGTTACGACTCAGTCTGTCACAGAGACACAGACTCCTACTATTAATAGTCTTTACTATACAGACTCACAGTCTATTGTCACTACGGCACTGGTGACAATAAAAGTATTAATCCCCTCAGGCGCAGTTTCCTACCTGTTTCATACTTTTTCGAGTTTACTTTGCTTTTATGATGTAATTAGCGTGATTTTAGCCCATTTATTGCACTCGTTGTATTAGTTCTTTGTCGGCCTCAGAGGAGAGGTCGCCGTATGTTAGACACAAACAGTGTCAACTGTGAAACCATGGGCGAATCCGAAGCAATAGCTAAGACAGAGGACGCCTATATCACATGTGTCTAACTGCTAACATATGTCAAGCCCTTAAGACCGACAAGGACCTAACATAAGTGCAACAAATGGGTTGTATCCGCGCTACAATATCTAAGATTCAAGTCGAGCGCTTTCAGCCGACAGATAACAAACAAACCGGCAGAAAACAAACACATCTCACAAGTACTTAAAATCACGCTATTTACATTAATACACTTATATTTAAGCAAATTAAACTCAAAAAAGTACTAGTGTGAGACACGTAGGAAACTAGGCCTGAGGTGGTTAATAATTTTACTGTCACCAGTGCCGTATAAAGACATTCGTGACAATGCCGCGTTCACACTTCCAGTCTTCACACAAGATATTTTCTTGAAAGAAACACTTTGGAAAGCTATGTCTGACTCCCTAACTCCTGAGTCCCGAGTCCTGAGCCTCTAATCAGTAAGTAATCAGTACATGTATCTACATACGTCATACATACTACATAGTGATAGGCCTGGATTTAGGATTATGAGATGAATATTGGGTTTCCGGGTTTGTTGTGGAGAAAGCGAAGATCAATGGTCATAGCCCTCTTTAATATTTACACGCGACAGACAACAGTGTATACGCAAATATAGAGGTGATGTGAACAATATATATATGTGTATCACAAACAGAATGAGGCATAGAGTTTGAAATCTTTGGTTGTACAAAGCAATATATTTTGAAACAAAATATTTCATTCATAATGGACAAAGATGATGAGATCGAGCCGCTATCGGAACGGCGACAAGACAACCACGAGGTGGACTATGACACGGAAGACTATGATGAGGACCATCCAGCATTGCCGAGAAGCTCATTGACAGGATATGAAGAGACCCTAAAATATGTGAGTTAAAGGAAATCTTTTTGTTTAATGGATGCAACAGCTTTTGACAGGTTTTATGAGACGCTTAGTCGATATATATATATATATATATATATATATAGATACATACACACATACAACATAGATACATA